TCCAACCAAACACCCCTTTAGCTTTTAATCGAGGGAAGAATTTCAATCATTCATGTGAGAATTCAAATGATTTTGGTTACTTTTTCCTCGAATTGTCCAACTTTAGAAACACTATTTTGTGGGGAAAGTTTTTTTTTTTTTAAGGCAAAATCAAATTTTAAACTCTTAAATTTACTCTAATTTTTTTTTAAATCCTTAATTTTTTGTGTAAGTAAACCTTTAAATTTGGTAATTTAATCATTTTTCTTATTACAAATTTAACACTTATGTATATTTTATTTGTATAAATAAAATCAATACTCAATGTATAAGTAATGACATATTAATATTTTATTTATACAACGAAACACAAATAAATATTAAGTTTGTTATAAAAAAAAAATTGATCAAATTATTCAGTTTAGGGGACTTATTTGCTTCGATACAAGAACTTAATAAAAAATTTAAGATAAGTTTAGAGGTTTAATATAAGGTTTTTGCTCTTTTTTTTTCTTTTTTCTTTTTTTTTTGAAATAGGGCAATTGTTTAATTTTACCTACTTTTTTAAGGGGTTAGGGGACGGATCGAGATGGATTCAAAAGTTTTAAACCCAAAGTCGGTGCCTACTGTGCCTACCATGCAAAGGGAGCAAGTGCCATTGTGCCAGGTGGTTGGTTGGCCATAGAATTTCTTCTCATTTTGTCATTAAATAAAATCCCAGAAGATTAATCCAATGACAATGTGCAACTATTCAGAGTTTTAAGGAAGGAAAACTAAGTGAAATGAAAAATATATGTAGGTTTAAAACTTTAAATTGAAGAGACAGAAAAAAATGAAAGTTTCTTCTATTTTGAAAATTATCTCCCTCCCTCTGTTTTTTTTGCCGTTATTTTGAACAATTTCTTGATCGTATAAAAAGCACACGCTTTTGATAAGTTGGCCTTGTACTGCAACAGTAATGTCCTTGTCTGCATTACCTATCTTTGACGTAATATTCTCATATCTGAATTTTTCAATGAGGAGATAAAAACTTTTAGAGGAAAAGTGTTTTGTTTCTTGTTTTTTAAAATTTTTTTAGAGGGTTTATTTAAAATTTTATTTTTTAATTAAAATTTT